CAGTGAGAGTCATTTAAATATATTTAGGGCAAGATCTTCACTTAATGTAAATTGGCATAGCCTAGGGAAGTGTTTCTCAACCAGTGGTACGAGTACCCTTAGGGGTACTCGAGAGACGTCTGGGGAGTACGTCAGCACAACTGAAACTTGGAGAAAACTGAATTTGTTTTAAGTTTTACAGAGCTTCATTATTTTTGTACTTTTTACACCTGGCTATGATTAAGTTGTTTAAACAAATGTGTTGCTATAGTAGACAAAAAATTGTGTCGGAAAACTGTACTTGTGAATTGGGGTACTTTCAATTTTTTTTGAAAAAGGGGGGTACTCTTTTTATAAAGGTTGAGAAACACTAGCCTAGAGAATATCCATAGACCCATATTTATTTGTGCCAGCTGAAGAATTAGCCCATAGTCCAGTAGTGGCACTTAAATTTAAATACGAAATGATATGACAGACCCATACTAGGCCAGCGTTTCAAAGGTGAGAGCACAGCAGACATCAATTTGTGCTTGAAATTTAAGTTAAAGTGGTTTGGGATGAACTGAACAAAAATTGGATTATTTATATATTAAAAACATGCATCCTGATAGTCCATTGTTCTGAAAAACGCTTTTCTAGAAAGTAAAGCTGCAAGAGACATCTAGCTACTCCGGTTTAAAACACTGGCTAGAAGCTTCTGATAAAACCATCAGTAAGGAACTGTTTAGTAACACTGACATTTCAAAGGATTTATAGTCAATGCCCCACTGAGATAAGTGTGGGAATTCACACATTTCATACTGTTACTGTTTAAATCTGACAAACTGTTTAAATCTGACAAGCTAAGACTGGACAAGATACCAGTGCTTCAGTTTGCACTGCCATAGAAATTTCCACTGTTCTTTCAAATGAAAGGTTAGATTTTGCAGAGCCTCATAAATGTAGGAGAGGCTGCTGGGTGCTTAGACTATGCAAATAATTCTTCCATCATTATTCAAGTATCAAGAAAGTACTCAGTCCTGTACAAAGCAAAACATTAGAACAGTCCCTATAGAGCAATAGGAAAGATTTAAAGTCAAAGAACTCCCTCCCCTCGAAGAACCTCTTCAGTTAGCTCTGAATAATAAAATGAACTGAGTCATATGGGTGTAGTTTTTTTGTAACTAAAGCCATCCAAACCACCATATTGTAAGCACAGCTTCACTTTCTCAATACAGATAGTCACCGATGTATGAATGAGTTACGTACCAAGCACTTGGTTATAACGTGATGTGTTTGTAAGTCAGACCCCATTCATTTCAATGGGACCGCGCTTTCATAAACGCAAATTGTTGTTCATAAGTCGGGGCCATGCTTTATAGGCGGTTGGTTGTAAGTGTGGCTGGTGGTACATTGATGCATTTGTAAGTCGGGGACTACCTGTAAACCATGGTCAGGGCTAGCATACTGTAACTGGAAACAGGCAGGACATAGCATACATATGGGTCACCTCCAATTTGCTTTAAATATGCTAATTTGTAAATGTAGCAGATAGACTAGAATTTGAAACCGAGCAAGTATAATACTGGCCATAATGCTATATGGCTCTTTATGGTTTCCCAATCTGCCTAAACCAGGAGTGGGGAACTTTTTTGGGTCAGGGGCCGCCCACCCACAGAAAAATCAGTCAGGAGACATACACAAGTGAGAAGGAAAAAAACAAAACCAAACCCTCATTGACATGGCCCCTGATTGAGATAGACACTCCCTACGTTCACCTAGGGGGGCCCAGCCTATTAGATTCTGTGCTCTAGTCCTGCGGCGGGGTAGTGTGTGGGGGTCCTGGAGCACCAGTGTGGGCTTCACAGTGCTGGAGGAGAGCCCATGAGCCTTGGGAGATGGATCCAGGCAAGCCGGGGACCAAGCCTGAGGTACCCCACTCCTGGCCTAAACCATGCCCTACAGGTTTTATTCCAGAGTTAGAGATTAGTTTAGTTTCCATCACCATTCAGACCTTGGGTTCTCTGATGATACTGATGTTTGACCACTTACAAGGAATCATACTGAGACACCACTAACCAACTTCACAGAGGCTACTGAGGAGCACTAGCATGGTGAAGATTTGGGGTTACTACTAATTTGTCAGATTAGCACTGTTACATGGAAGTGTGTATTATGGTTTAAGACCCTTGTGAGGTCAACAGAGGTGCTGAGAGACCACTGATTCAGCCTATTCCACCAGCCTGGTCTCCCCTTAAGTCTGGTCTTGCTGAGCCAGGCCTCTTCCAGAAAAGCTCACAGGCTGGGCCACATCTAGTTGCAGAAAATACTAACGCTGAGAATAGCTCTGGGAAGACTCCATTCAAGAGGTTTACTGTAGCACCCAGATGTTTGCCCCTCTTCAGGTACAAACCCAAAGTTATATGAAGTTTGTCTCCTCCTTCAATGTGAAGGAAGGTACAGACAATTGCTCACTCCTCCCACTTAGAAATTACATAAACAGGGTTATAATATACAATAGAAATAACTTTATTAATGAAAAGATGTTTAAGTGGTTAAAGAAGTAGCAACCAGACAATAATACAAGGCATGCACTCAAAAGTCAGATTCATTAAAGAAACTGATTACAACTGATTTCGCACCCTAAATATTATTTTAGACAGAGTTCTTCACAGACCAGAGGTGTCCTTTCTGACCTGGATCCAACTGTTCTTCCTCTACCCTGTCAGTGACAGTCCTTTTGTTTCCAGGTTTTTCAAGTATCCCTTTGGGGTGGGGAGGCAGAGGTAAATCCAGTTGAAGATATTTATTGTTTTCCTTCCCTGCCCTATACAGAATTTCTATACATTTGGGAAATCTTTGGATTCTCTCACCCCCTTGTGGAACAGTTCATCAGACCAAGGATTTGGTTAGTGGCATGTGACCAGGTCACTTGACACCATTGTCCATGAGTCGGGAGCATTATGGAAAGGCATGCTTTTCCCACAGTCCTAGCTGATGGGCCATCAGCCCTGTCTTTTTTTTCCCATTATAGTCTGACATGTTGGCAGTGGGAGTAACCCAAAATTGCAAATATGAAACACAGACATACATCCAACTTTGTATACAAAAATGATACAAACATACAACTGGGATAATCAAATTCAGTAAATCATAGCCTTTGCAATGACAACTGATATATGTCGAATGCTCACGTAATGTATGTCATTCATATTGAACTTTTTCATAAAGCATATGGAATATTACATCACATGGTGGTAATAAGATAAATAACCGCTTTCTGAGCCATCCAGTCAAACTTCTGTAATTCAGTTCTCTTATTTCATTATAATAATTTCAGAAAAACCACCACCATCGTGTCTGAGTTCCAGTAAATGACATCTGAAGTACCACAAGGAATCCCAAACAACCTGAGAAAATCCAATTTAAAGCATATGGAATATTACATCACATGGTGGTAATAAGATAAATAACCGCTTTCTGAGCCATCCAGTCAAACTTCTGTAATTCAGTTCTCTTATTTCATTATAATAATTTCAGAAAAACCACCACCATCGTGTCTGAGTTCCAGTAAATGACATCTGAAGTACCACAAGGAATCCCAAACAACCTGAGAAAATCCAATTTAGAAGTGGAGGAGAAATCTGACTATTGATGAGGGAAAGTTACAAATTAACAAATCTTATTTTTAGGGCTAGATTGTATTCCTATGTCTTACTCAACCAAATCAGTTCTGAAGTGTTGTGTAGAAAGCAACTCCTACTTTCCAGATAATTAAATAACTTAAAAAACAACAAATAGTCTTACAGCACCTTAGAGACGAGCAAATAATGTAGATGGTATCATGAACTTTTGTGGGCCCAACCCACTTCTTCAGATGAATGGAGTTAAGAGGCCCAGGGGACAAATGAATATCAGAGAAAGAGAGCAGCTGGGGAGGGAAAGATATATTTTTTCCTTTCTGTTCCCTCACCATACCTCTGCTATCTATTTGTCCCCTGGATCCCTTAACTCCATTCATCTGAAGAAGTGGGTTGTATTCACAAAAGCTCATGATACCATCTACACCTGTCAGAGTATACATACAGGGTGTAGGATACCATCTACACCTGTCAGGGTGGTTAAACACTGGAATAAATTGCCTAGGGGGGTTGTGGAATCTCCATCATTGGAGATATTTAAGAGCAGGCTGGATAACTCTATCAGGTATGATCTAGATAGTGGTTGGTCCTGCCATGAGGGCAGGGGACTGGACTCAATGACCTCTCAAGGTCCCTTCCAGTTCTAGTGTTTTATGATTCTATGTTTGTTGGCCAAGTGTGAGGAGTGAAGTGAGCTGCACACTTAAAGGTTATAATTAATTACTTTCCTTCCTTTTGGAGCAAAAGGGAGCATTGTGACTTTTCCAATTCCTTCCTAGGGATGCTCAATCATACACTGTCTCCTATGCAGGGTTCAGGATGAATCTAAAGGATCAAGAAGGTCATTATTTCTACTTCGTCTGGTTCCCAAAGCAAGATATATCTGGAGAGCGTGGTCAGCAGAGGTAATTCTGTATTCAGGGAGCTGAATGTTCTGTAAATTCTATTTTTGGGAAGATACAACTCTACATCGGTGGCTGCTGAGATTAACAAGCAAAGTGTGCCTCTGGCCTGCTTCTTAACTTTTAATAGCTGTTTATTGTTTTAAATTCCAACAAGAAATGCTAGGTGTGTTCCGTGTCTGGTTTAAATCTGTGTAGGATACTGAGACCAATGAAGCTTTGCTAATTTCTACCACCTGAGGATCTGGCTCATTATTATAAAACAAGCTCTACCTGCTAAATATAGAAATGCTTCACATACTTCATGATGACTTTTAGCCTTAAACTCCATGTTCATGCAAGCTATACATGCTGCTCTTCACTAAGGTCTGGATTAGATGTTGTAGCCCAGCTGGATGGAGCTGTGAATTTCATCCCTCTGTCTCTGGTAACTTCTGTATGAAGCAAAGCTCTTTCAGACAGCAGTTGTTCCTTTCAATTCTATTTCCCAGTGGGGGGGGTGGGGGGGGGGGGATTTTCACTCTATTTTGAAACTGAACATGCAATTCAGATTGTGACACATCACATGCAATTTGCTCTTCGGCAAAACCTGTTCGACAATATAGAAAATATTGTGAAATTTTAGTATAACTACTTACAAAAATGTTCCTGTGACATCCACAACATTTGAGAAAATGCACAATAATAGGGCTTATCAGCAAACATTTAACAGTATATTAATTTGACAACAATCTTACATTTCTTACAGTGAAGGCATTTCTCCAGTTACAGAATTAATTGTTTGCATAGTTCTGCACACTTCAACTGAGTAGATTTCATAACATAATGTTCTAAGAATGATGCCCAAGGTACTTATAGCAGCATAATTTTAATGGAACTGTAAACAACTTATTTCAGTCAACCAGAACAAGATTATCTTCAACAAATGTTGCTGACTATTTCAACAACAACAAAAATGTTTTTATATTCAAAATTGTAGAGCGAATGGATGATACAATTTTTGTATAAACTGAAACTTTAATAGATGAGGACTTAAAAATACAAAACAATCCCTTTTCCTACAACAAACCTTCCCCCAGTAATGTTATGATTACTTTGTTGACAAGTTGTTTTGCATAGCAACACGAATAAATCAGAACATAAAATATATTAAAACAAGTTTTCTATCATGCAAAAAGAAATAAAATATTTAAAACCTAGATTTAACATTCCCTTCATCCTCCAACTCGTAAAGTTGAATTAAAACTTATCTTGATTCAATGACTTGTAGACCAATAGACTATACAATTATTTGAAACCCTTAGAATCCAGTTTTTGCTCTACAATCATCCAGAAAGACAACACTGGTATCTTCCAATATATTTTCTTGGAAATATTCCACATTATTCTTTGTTTCAGATGTAGAACAACTATGATGAATTTTCTCTGTTGTCAGAAAATAATTGGAATTAGGAATATTTGCCTGTTTCTTGCAAGAGTGAAGATCTATTAATCAGTTTAATAGATAAAATGCCAGAGATACATCTTCTTACAGTATTTTTATTAACTAGTAGCACCATCTGCTGGTCCAGGCAATCCTTTCAAATTTTAGAAAATGCTGTGGAGAGTGATCCAGCCAAAATGACACAAAATGCTATGGAGAGTAATAGGTAGTTTTTCAGTCCCTATGCAGTGAAAGAAAAAAAAAGAAAAGAAAAATGTAAAAATACTTGCATACAAGATAGTGGGGTTCTTTTTTTAAAAAGGGGAGGGAGAGAGTAAAATGAAAGTGAAGTTAGTTGTTTACAATAAATTGCATGAATAAGTGGGTTTCTGGGAATGGCATTTATCAAAAGCAAATGTTAAGTGAATTCTTATGGAAAGTTAATCCAGAGTTCATATAACATGAGTGCTTACAATAAAAGAATTACTCATCCAGTCAGGGAAAATAACATGATTGATGTGTCCATTTAAATCCAAAAGCCCTATAAAAGGGAATCTTTTTTGTTGATGTCAAAGACCTCAAAGATTGTTCACAAAGAAGTTCACAGTGGGTACTCTAAACAAACATTACTTTTATATAGGAATTAATCACAAGAACTATTCAGCAAATAATTTGGAGTATTTTTGAGAAATTTCATCCTATTCAAGGACAATTCTCAAACAGCAAATTAGCTGATCAGATTCTTCTAAATTAACTGAACAACTTGAGTTCTAATCTTGGTTTGGATGATGACTTGCTGTATGATGTTGGGTGAGTTAACCTCTTTGAGCCACACTTTCCTCATCTTTAGTGCTTGGACAATGGTATTTACCACCTTTATTTAAAGTTATGTATATGTGTTTATGGGTGTATCTACATGTCAGTACATGGCCTGTGGCATGGTTGTAGCTGACTCAGATCAGCTGACTTCAGCTCACAAATCTCAAAAATTGCAAAGTAAATATTTGGGCTCGATCTGCTGCCTGGGCTCAGAACCCCTGCTGGAGGAGGGAGGCATGAATTTCAACACCCAACCTCCGGTCAACTGTTTGAGCTCTGAGTCCCAAGAGGCTGCAGGCATCTATCACAGTGTGGATATACCCACAATCACGTCCTTAAGTATGTGAGTTGTCCGATTGAAATAAAAAAAACAATTTCTTGTATGTGCATCATCTTACATGTCAAATATCTCTGAGGATCTCGGCTTTAGGCCCCTTTCCAGGAAAAGCACTTAACTGCCATTGACTTTAAGGAAAATGGTTTTTCCATTTTTTCCAGAATAAAAACAAAATTAGAATTTTATGTAAATTTTACAAACTAGAAGCAAGCAAAGGTTGTTCAATTAGGGAAAACAAATTCTTATGTGTCATCCAATTGTAGACACTTAGAATTTTCCTGAAACAGAAGAGACTAAAAACGGAATACTGCTAAAATTAATCTTTCAAAATGTAAACATGTTAAAGTATATTTTTTAAAATTATAGCATAGCACATTATCTATGCATGAGACTTCCAAAATCTTCTTTCAGATATAGCATTAATGGAGTACTATTTTTGGATATCTATGTTGGTCCTTGTCAATCTAAAAGATGTTTAATACTCAAAAACAATCTTTAATTTTTTTTAAATATCAATTTGTTGTTGAACTCCTGATCCCGCTAGCAGTCCTTCATGCTGTGTCTCAGCTTTTTATGCAGATGTGGAATTCAATTTTTCATTGTTCTAAAGTGAATGAAAGCTCCCCCTAGTCACATCAAACCTTATCTTCCAAAAATTACTCTTGCATGACAACGAACCTTGCTCCATGTTGTATCTGCCCACTTATGAAAGGCACAGAAGAAGTCTCATGATACAGCATAGTACCATATATCAGGGGTTCCTAACCGTTTTGACATGCGGACCAGTAAATCCATTCACGAGCTTTTGGAGGACTGGTAACATTCATTTACATATTTGCATATTCATTAAGAAAACGATGAATATTCAAATAAGTTGTTTCTTGTCCCCCTAATGCCTCCAATTCCAGCGTTAGCAAAGCTTTTGATACAGTCACCCACAATATTCTTGCCAGTAAGTTAAGGGAATATGGATGGGATAAATGGACTGTAAGATGGATAGAAAGCTGGCTAGACCAGGGTTTCCCAAACTTTTTACTTTAGTTGGAACCCGTTTTTTTCAGTACTGTTTTTTGCAGCCCCAAAACATAAACACATATTAAAAAAAAAGAATGAGGGGACCCGGCGCCACATGAGCACTCCAGGAGGAGCAGAGCAGATTGGGGGTAGGGTATCTGGCTAGAAGGGAGGGTGCAAAGAGGGGTAGGGTTGCCAGGTGTCCAGTTTTGTACCTGACAGTCCGGTATTTGAAGGTTTTGTCCGGGAAAGAAATTGAGAAATTACCAGACATATAAAATACCTGGTATTTTCTAATTAGGTACGTTTTATTATAATTAGGTGTATCAGTCCTTAGCTGCGAACTGCCTGGCTAGTAGATGTGCTCACGCTGTCTGTGTGTGTCTACCTGCCAGGCACTTCGCAACTACTCCAGGGAGGGTGTGTGTGTGTGGGGGGGGGGGCAACTGCATCCCCCATCCCATAGTACACAAAGCCTCAAAATTATTTATCCTGGGCCTGCCCTCTGACTATGATTTCACCTTCACTTGTAGGTAAAGCGGGGGAAGGAAAAAGAGAAAAGCGCGTTAAAGGCAGCAGGCTCCACCTGAGCCACAACAGGAAAGATGCCTCAGCAGGAGCAGGATTTGACACTCAACATGCCATTTCTGATATGATAGATGCTTTTCTGTGGCCTGTAATCTGCAGGCTCATTAAGAGCGTCAGGGAAAGCATGTATTTTTTGCATGAACTAATATACCAGAGCAGACAACTGCATAAAGAAATAAAACATTACATGTATGGACAAGAATCTTCCTATCAAACTCTAACTCAGCTAAAAGTTTAAAGTGAAGTTAAAACTCATTAATACGTTATACTCCTCCCAGCTCGCCCTGCTCTGCTCCCCTCCTGGCAGCCACGCTGAGGCCCGGTATTTTTTTCCTGTGGCCTGGTACTGGGCTGCGGCCCATAGTTTGGGAAACGCTGCCATGTATCATCAAGTCTCAGGTTTCACATGCAATTCTTGATGTTAGATACAGGTAAAGTTAAGACACCATTGGACTTACTTTTATTTCGTTAAATACCAGGACTCCCCACATAGCAGCTATAAAACCAGGACCCTAAAGAAAAAAGGTTAGCCATTATAGCATTTCTTAAAAATGGGCAATTTTATCAATACTTAATTCAGACCCTTTTTTTTTTCCTGTAATGCAACTGTAAATGTTCATGAACAAAACAAACATTGTACAGATTTCAAAGGAAGGATCAATAAATCCTGCAGGAGGAAGAAAAGGGGGATGACATCTGAGGAGTAGGTACAATCTGGACCAAAATCAGACTGCAGAGACAGTATCTCGAACCTGCCACTTCATTCGTTCTTGATATTCTCCAAACTAGTAAATCTCATCTCAATCTCATCCATAGTTCAGATTGGAGGAGGCTATTCAGGTTTCTGCACATGATCTTAGCAGTTACCAAGATTATTTCTAATATTTACTTCATTTCTATAACTAACTAGTTGAACAAACTTAAAAAACAAGAAATAGTCTGGCAGCACTTTAAAGACTAACAAAACATGTAGATGGTATCATGAGCTTTCATGGGCACAGCCTACTCGAACAAAGTTTGCCTTAAACACTCACTGTAAAAGTGAAAGACTAAAAATACATCTTCTTTTATCTATCAGTAATCGGAATTGTCCACATTAGGGATATGAATGTTTAACCGGTAAGCCTTAATGGATGAGGCTGGAGCAGCTCTCTCCTTGCCATGGGCAGTGGTCTGCTACAGTCCCGTGGGGAGGCCTACTGCAGACAGGGGTTGCTCCAGTTGTTCACTGGACCTGAGCAAAATTAAAGAGACTGACTCTCTTACTTAAAAGCTACTCATTCATTTAGCTCTGGAGACACCTAGTTCACCCCTTGATGCCACCCAAGATGGCTGTTGTCACAATTACACATGTTCCCAAAAGCCAAAGGCAGTGTGGAAGACATAGCAGTATGGATCTTAAGAAAAGGCCACAGACTGGCTGCACAGACTCAATCCCTCAATGTTGCAAATAACCCCCCTACCCCAAAATTAAATAATAATGACACAATATACAACCTTTAAAAAAAGCTACTTACAGCAGTGATTATTGGAAAGCTGACCACTGCACTGAGGTAGCGATTAGCTAGGAACCAGCAACAATTCGCTATTGCCCAAAGTACACCAGAAACAAACCCTAGGAACAACATATTCCAGTCAAAAAACTATGTACAACAACATATAGATGGGCAGTGAAAGACATTACAATTTACTACCTGAAAATGTAAAATGGAATCTGAATAGTATGTTGAATACGGATTATCTAAATCTAACCTTAAGGGATAAAATAAACCTCTCCAAGTGAAATGGTTGCAGAGTGTTTCTGGATGACAAATTAGGTGGTGACACAATTCAGAGAAACTGCAACTGTATTTCCACCCAGTGGTTCGGCAAGGGCACTGATAGTCAAACTTCCAGTTGCTCTTGCAATGGACGCTCTCTCTCCCAAAATTCCACGTGAGTGAGGGAGGGCAGCAGCTGTGAGCTTCAGGATGGGGGTTTTCATCCCGTTCCCCGGACACTAAGGGAGCGAGAGGACAGTACTTGAATTCTGTCTGGCGAGCACTTTCACCTCACTCCCTGGTAGTCTGGGGAATGGGAAGAAAAGGAAACCACTTCCCAGAGTGCATGGCTGCTGCCTCCCCTCCCAAAATTCCATCTTTGTTCTCTCTCTTTCTTCTTCTTACAGGGGGGAATTTCAGACTGAACCGTTTCTTCCCTACGCTGTATTCCCAGCACTATTAGGCCAAGGCTCACTTTCCTCCGTCCCTCCCTTCTGTATAACTGTTACAGTTACAAGGTACCACACAGCACTTTCAATGCAAACTTACTTTGTTCTTAAGGTTACAAAGAAAAAACATTAAAAACCAATAATAACCTGCACATGTGCTAATAAGCTTACTAGAGCTTACCCAATGCTAACATGGATTTTGGGGAGAGCTGTCCTTCAGTCTTCCTCCCAAGGAGATTCCCTGTGGTTATAAGTTCAGCTCAAAGCAAATACCCAGTCTTATGAGGTCTCACTTGAGCCTGTCCTTCCAACCTATCCTAGGATTGGGACTTTTTGAGGACCAGGAGTCCCATCCATTTACTAGATCAAAAATAAGGCTCTGGGACAGAGTAAAACCAGGTGATCAGTTAACCCCCTTTTTCTTTGTCTATTAGTCTCTACAGAATCTGGTTGAACCAATGTATGTTTACCTTTCACAGGCTTCAAAAGGCCGAAAATGGAGGAAGTGTATTAGTATCCCCCTTCCTACTAAAGAAGGTACATACAATAACAACACACAATTGCATTTTTAAAGCAGTATACCCCAAAGATATTAAACTTTAATTAATTTATTTAAGTTTATCTAAATTCCTTAAAGTTTGTTCAGGATATTACTGGATATTGTCTATCACAGCTAGCCCAGTCCTGGTTGGAGATGTGGCTTGATCTCCTGTGTGGATTTTCTAAGATCCACAGCAGGAACTGACAAACATCCAGGACTGATATAAAACATATTCTAAATTCATTTACAACACAATGTTTGCAATTAATAGTGCTAATTAAATTTAGTATCTTAACTGTTTCTGTTACTCAACATAAAGACAAAATTTGAAGTGTGCCTTAATGTTACTAGGAACAAAATTTAAAAGGTGGGCTGAAAAGAGAACTTCTGCTGAAATCAAAAGTATCATTCTTTGTCACAGGCAGATTTAATTATTATACTTTTGTTCTCTTAGCACTTACAGCAAAGCCAGACAGCAGAAATTCAGGCACAGGACTCTCCTCCTCTTCCTGATTTGAACAACATATTATTTTATAAATGGCAATGAGATTGGTAATAATGCATTATTGTACTACGTGAAAGAGCACATACATGGAGTAATTAACTGCTTTAGTATTGTATTGCTGCTCAGAAAACTGGTTTTGCATTTATATGTGGGTCTAGATATTGTTTAGCATGGCTTTTTGTTTGTTGGTTTTTCTGTGTTCATTGGATGTTATTCATGGCATTAAATTATAAAAAAAATCAATTAATCACTGATCGTTTAGTAACAGGACATTAGTTTGAGTTTGAAGTAAGTATCTTTTCGCTTAAGACTATTTAAAATATATGGGTGTCACAAAAATCCTACTAGATACTGAGTTCTGGAAAAATATAGATAATCCAAATGGATCAACCAATACTGAATTTACAGCAACTACTGTTGATTCAGTTTCTTTTTATTTTTCTTACGTTTGCAGTGACAAATTCTTCACCATCTGGCCTTTCACTAAGAGGATTTTTTTTCCTCATTCCTACCCTAAAGAAGTTGTAAACTTTTCAAAGGTCAGTATACTAAGTAGATATCAGATACAATTAGCTGGGCAATGTGTTCTCAGTTCCGGCGAAGTGTTAGAACATCTTTAACATGCAACATCACATTTCAAATTGGACCACAATTTGTCATGGTCTCCCAACCATTTCACATATGCTCTTTCAAATGATACCAAAAGTCAAGCAAATGTACTTCCAAGATTAACCATAATCCCAAGAATATTGTTTGGAATAATTACAGTAGTACAGTTTAAATGATTAGAGGAAGTAATTTACATTAATAGATACTTTATCAAATAGTCATACCTGGCATTATGACTTCAGGGTAAACTTTAGGTTTATTTTTCATGACTGCACAGTAAATCAAAAAGTATATGGTGCTTGTAAGAAAGATTCCACTGAAGTGTGCAAAAACATAGTCTAAATCTGAAACAGAAAAGGCACAAAGGTAAAGATATAAAATCACAGTTATGGTAAACATTGTTACTAAACTACGCTATGTTTCACACTGAGTGCATGAATACAAAAATGTGTAAGAAACTAACAACATGAAATCTGGCCATTGTTCATCCACTTTAAATAAAACAAAAATAAGACAAACAAAGGGTGTGTCTACACTACAAAGTTAATTCGAACTAGGTAAACCTCATTCTACGAGGCCTAACGCCTAGTTCGAATTAACTAGTTTGAATTAAGGGCTGTGTAGCCACTTAATTCGAACTAGGTAAACCTCATTCTACGAGGCCTAACGCCTAGTTCGAATTAACTAGTTTGAATTAAGGGCTGTGTAGCCACTTAATTCGAACTAGGTAAACCTCATTCTACGAGGCCTAACGCCTAGTTCGAATTAACTAGTTTGAATTAAGGGCTGTGTAGCCACTTAATTCGAACTAGGTAAACCTCATTCTACGAGGCCTAACGCCTAGTTCGAATTAACTAGTTTGAATTAAGGGCTGTGTAGCCACTTAATTCGAACTAGGTAAACCTCATTCTACGAGGCCTAACGCCTAGTTCGAATTAACTAGTTTGAATTAAGGGCTGTGTAGCCACTTAATTCGAACTAGGTAAACCTCATTCTACGAGGCCTAACGCCTAGTTCGAATTAACTAGTTTGAATTAAGGGCTGTGTAGCCACTTAATTCGAACTAGGTAAACCTCATTCTACGAGGCCTAACGCCTAGTTCGAATTAACTAGTTTGAATTAAGGGCTGTGTAGCCACTTAATTCGAACTAGGTAAACCTCATTCTACGAGGCCTAACGCCTAGTTCGAATTAACTAGTTTGAATTAAGGGCTGTGTAGCCACTTAATTCGAACTAGGTAAACCTCATTCTACGAGGCCTAACGCCTAGTTCGAATTAACTAGTTTGAATTAAGGGCTGTGTAGCCACTTAATTCGAACTAGGTAAACCTCATTCTACGAGGCCTAACGCCTAGTTCGAATTAACTAGTTTGAATTAAGGGCTGTGTAGCCACTTAATTCGAACTAGGTAAACCTCATTCTACGAGGCCTAACGCCTAGTTCGAATTAACTAGTTTGAATTAAGGGCTGTGTAGCCACTTAATTCGAACTAGGTAAACCTCATTCTACGAGGCCTAACGCCTAGTTCGAATTAACTAGTTTGAATTAAGGGCTGTGTAGCCACTTAATTCGAACTAGGTAAACCTCATTCTACGAGGCCTAACGCCTAGTTCGAATTAACTAGTTTGAATTAAGGGCTGTGTAGCCACTTAATTCGAACTAGGTAAACCTCATTCTACGAGGCCTAACGCCTAGTTCGAATTAACTAGTTTGAATTAAGGGCTGTGTAGCCACTTAATTCGAACTAGGTAAACCTCATTCTACGAGGCCTAACGCCTAGTTCGAATTAACTAGTTTGAATTAAGGGCTGTGTAGCCACTTAATTCGAACTAGGTAAACCTCATTCTACGAGGCCTAACGCCTAGTTCGAATTAACTAGTTTGAATTAAGGGCTGTGTAGCCACTTAATTCGAACTAGGTAAACCTCATTCTACGAGGCCTAACGCCTAGTTCGAATTAACTAGTTTGAATTAAGGGCTGTGTAGCCACTTAATTCGAACTAGGTAAACCTCATTCTACGAGGCCTAACGCCTAGTTCGAATTAACTAGTTTGAATTAAGGGCTGTGTAGCCACTTAATTCGAACTAGGTAAACCTCATTCTACGAGGCCTAACGCCTAGTTCGAATTAACTAGTTTGAATTAAGGGCTGTGTAGCCACTTAATTCGAACTAGGTAAACCTCATTCTACGAGGCCTAACGCCTAGTTCGAATTAACTAGTTTGAATTAAGGGCTGTGTAGCCACTTAATTCGAACTAGGTAAACCTCATTCTACGAGGCCTAACGCCTAGTTCGAATTAACTAGTTTGAATTAAGGGCTGTGTAGCCACTTAATTCGAACTAGGTAAACCTCATTCTACGAGGCCTAACGCCTAGTTCGAATTAACTAGTTTGAATTAAGGGCTGTGTAGCCACTTAATTCGAACTAGGTAAACCTCATTCTACGAGGCCTAACGCCTAGTTCGAATTAACTAATTTGAATTAAGTTAGTTCGAATTAGTGCTGTATAGTAAACATACCCACGGGAAGTAAATTTGTAGCATTATCCACGTGATACAAACACGACTGCAAATAGTACAGGTTAGACCTCCCTCGTCTGGCACCCTTGGGACCCGACTGGTCCCGAACAAGGGGATTTGCTGAATGAGAGAAGGTCCCTCCCAACATGGCCCATGTGGCCCCTGGCTAGGACTTCAGTCCAGCTCTGCTGCTGCCTAATGGCTCTGGCTCCCCAGGCTGCAGCTCCGTGGCTGTTGCTGCTGGAACCAGAGCTTTGCATCTGGGACTGGAGCTCCATGGCTGCTGTGGTCGGGGCTCTGGGGCCGGAGCTCTGCAGCTTCTCCTGGCCCGTGCTACTCAGCCACAGGGGCCAGAACTCCCTGCTACACTGCCCACCTGCCCTCCCACCCCCCAACACAGGGCTCCTGGCTGAATTGCTGCCCTTCCCCCTCCCCACTCTTGCCCTGTGGCCTGAACTCTTTATACCTGGGCTCTGTGGTCCAGGAACATCCTTGGTCCAGCAGAGAGTCCCAGTTAAGGGAGGTAACCTGTACTCTAGATAAGGTCAATCATGCAGGCTAAATTATATAAGGGGGTTGACACTGCCATAAAACCATAAAATTCTAGGGCTAGAAGGGACCTCAAGAATGTTGTCATCGTTGTTTCTCTCCTCTAGATCCCCTCCTATTTTCCTTGTTTTTTATAGTGTGGAACCCAGAATTGGGCAATTTGAGTTTAAATTCTGTCCTCCAAAGTGCTTGTAATGTCTCTCAGCTAGGTTTCACCCATAAATTTAATAAGCTTCTTTTCCACTCCATTATCCAATTCATTAATAAAATATTGATTAGTCCTGGACTCAAGACAGACCCCCATGTGATCCCACTATATTTGTCTTTCCACTTTGACAGTGAACCATTAAAAATTGCTGAGTACAATATTTCAACTCGCTATGAACCCACTGTACAGTACCTTCATCTAGCCCACGTTTTCCTATTTTCTTTATAAAGTCACATGGTGCTGTCAAAAGCCTTATTAACGTAGCATGTCTACTACTTTTCTCCTATCTACTAGGACTGTAATCCAGGCAAAAAAAGAGCTCTTTTGGAAAAAGACTTCTTCCTCGTAGCAAGACGATTACCAATGTCAGAAAAGCCCCTCTGTTCTTTGTTTTCTTTTGGAAGAACATGACTGCAGTGTGGACTTAATTCAAGTTTTTTTCAGAAAAATGGCCGTAGTGTAGACATATCCCGAGTCAAGACTCAATCCTCACCTTATTCAATTACCTCTCAAAATCCCATTTCTACAACATCACCTACAAAGCATGTAGTTAAAATATATCAAGAAAGTGGGAAACCCATAATCCAATCCACCTGCTCCAATGACTTTTCAACAGGATCGTCCCAGCACTGGCAGAGAGGGGAGAATTGAACCTAGATTTTACCTATCCCTAGTGAGTGCTCTGATGGCTGGGCACAATCTCCATCTCTTTTTCCTCACATGACCAGATTTTGAATGGGATTTAATCCGGTGGCGTGTGAGTACCTCTGCTAGAGTAGGCCCTGCATACAAGTTAGGTGATCGAACGTTAATCTTCCTCTGGTTTGTGGACTGTTCTGTAGCTAAGATAGGAGGGAGATGCTCAGAAGCAGAAACATAGGGATAGAAAGAGCTATTATGCTGATAATTTAGGTACTCAGTGAGTTTAAGCACATATAAGCTGCGTCTATACTGCATGATTATTTTGGAATAAGTTATTCCGGAAAAAAGTCTCTGAAATAGCTTATTCTGAAATAGCACGTCTACACAACAGGAAAGCCTGGAAATTAGTCCGAAAGAGGCTCCCCTAATGTGGGTGTGCTACCTCGATTTAGAACCCCAGGAAGCACTAAGGAGTAATTACTTTGGATGGCCCTGGGTGAGAAGTTATTTTGAAATCGCATCCGTGGAGCCTCCACACTCCTGCTATTCTGAAATAGCTATTTCGGAAGAGGCATTATTCCTCATGGAATGAGGTTTACAAATACCAAAATAAGCCGCCCACTATTTTGAAATTATTTTGAAATATAGTAGCCCAATGTCTGTGACTCTGTAACGGTGTAACGCTCGGTGTTGCCTCTGGGTGGCGCTGTTGCTTCTGTAACGTCCTTCGCCTCCTACGTGGTGCTTGGCTGACATCTGAGTGGCGCAGGAGTCAGCCGGGTGCCACGGCGGGAGGGGAAGGGAGGTGGTGCGGACACATACACGGCCAGGGGGTGGGGCCTGGCCGTGTATGTCACTGCCCCACCTCCCTTCGCGCTCCCCTTAGTCTCCCGCCGTGGTGCTTGGCTCAATTCTCTGCCGCTCAGCCGGGCCGCCGCTTGCTCCCTCGCTCAGCTGGACCACTCCTGCGCTGCATGGGGAGTGCAGAGTCCCCCCCCTCGTTTCTCGCCCCCTTTAGCCCCCCGCCGTGGTGCTTGGCTGATTTCTCTGCCGCTCAGCCGGGCCGCCGCTTGCTCCCTCGCTCAGCTGGACCACTCCTGCGCTGCGGCGGGGTGGTGACGTGCGGCGTGACAGTGGCTCCAGGCCCCACCCCCTGCCTGTAAACATCACTGCCCCTCCCCCTTCGCCTCCTGCAGTGGCGCTTGGCTGACTTCTGCGCCTCTCAGCCGGGCCACCGTGCGGGAGCAAGTGACGCAAGTGACCGTTTGGGCTCTGCGCTCCCCAAGCTGTTTGGGCTCCGCTGTCCCCCGAGTGAGAGGCAGGAGGGGGAGGAGAGCTGAGAGAGAGGGGGGGAGGCAGTAGGAGGAGGAGAGAGAGACAGAGCGAGAGTCCGGAGGCTCAGGAGAGAAGACCGACGTGGAGGAGAGACCTGAAAATCCCATCTTATGACGGGCGAATTGGCTAGTTTTGAAATAACAGGCTAGCTGTGTAGATGCTCACATAGTTATTTATTCCGAAATAACGCTGCTGTGTAGATGTACCCATAGAGTTTAGAGGGAATTTTGTGGTTCACAGTAAAGCCTAAAAGTGGGATTGGGTTGCTTAAACCTCACATGTAAGCACCTGTGTTTTTGACTCAAGAAGAAAAGGAATCCCTTGTTTCGGTTCTAATGCTGCACTGCTGAGTTTGTTGTGTGAACAGACATACTCTTCCCTTATATGTGCTATCTAGATTCTCCACTTGGCGTGTATTTATCATCTGATGAAGAATGCAGGAGCCAAGAGATTCATTGTCCACCTACCTAATCAGTGACTTTGGCTCATTATTGCTGCAGCAGTGTGAGCACACCAATTTATGAAGGCACCACGCCAACAAGAAATTGCAAGAGAATGACAATAGTATAATGTGCTTGCATGAATTGTTGGAAGATAGATAAGAAGCACCTAAGACTGCAATGAAGAGGATGGGTCAACCCTGAGGAAGGATGGCTTGAAATGCTCCTTATCAGCTCCGTTAGTAGGTACTAAACCACTTTCTCTCCCCTGGCTTGGGCTGGGCTCATGCCCTCAACAGACATACTTCTGGCACTGTGCTGGCCAGGCTGGAGGAACATGGAGTAGTAAATCCTTGTGTTCTCTCACACTCCCCTCAGGTAGAATTAATGCCTCTGGAAGCCTACAAGCTAGGGAAAGTAACTGAACTTGCCGGCTGCAGCTAAATGCATTGCCACTCTGAAAGCCCGTGGTCTCTCTATTTTCCCATATTTGATGATTACCCCCATTAAGTGTGAGGATAATTAATACAAACATCAAGTAAATATATTTTATGCACAGTAAAAGCAGAACATGAGCTGAAAAATGGATGAAGAAACCAAACATTTATATTAATTTGGTGCCTAACCTATTTGGAATATTGCCTACTAATGCAGTTGTGAAAATCTATAAGCCACATAATACCCACCCCATAAGCAAAGTAAGTAGAAAATCTGACTAAATTTCAAAATGTTTAAGAACATTTTGTTGTGAATGAAATGGTGTCCAAACATCAGTGAAGTTTGGCATACACTGGGGCTGAGTGACCATTACCACACAACTTCTATGGTCATTTACACCTGAGCAAAATGGGTGTCAAACACTACCAGATCAGCACTGGTTCTCTCTTTCAGTCTTCAGAGGCATGCGGAGTATGTGGTGCAGCACTCTGGTGGCAATTTAAAGGGGCTTGGGGCTCCAGCCATTACCTGCCAACGGGGCCAGGTAATGGAGAATAAGATGCACCGATTCCTTTGTTGTTACATAATACCAGGAGGCAAAGCAAAAATCACCAAACCTATGTACAAAACTAATTGCTATACAGTAATTATAAGGTGAAATAAAAATGGCTCATTGGCTTTTACCAAATTGACTTGCTCCAGTGTATAATGTCCCATTTCTTCTACCATGGTCCTTGATGTAGAGCACTGGCACAAAACTGGAACCATAGAATATTCCAGCTACTACTGCTAGGGTACAACCTCTTGAGAGAGTGAAAAGAAACCATTATTAACCAGTACGCTGGATAATAACTTAAGGCATATGCAGGATTAGAATAATACTATATAAATCATGCTGCACATGCAAATTGCTAGTAATGATTTAGAATTTACACCACCACAAACTCTCACTGACTAGAGGAGATTCTCCCCACAATGCTCTAGCATATCAGAGTCTAGGAGGGCTCAGGCTACTAGATTTTGTGTGCTCCATGGTGATGTGGCAGGGGCTGGAGTGCCAGTGCAGGCTCTCCAATGCTGGGTGGGACCCTGAGCCTCAGAGGCCGGATCCAAGGAGTCCCTGCCCTAAAGAGTGGACGGTCAAGATTAATGAAAAGCCACAACAACTAAATTACAGCAAGGGAGGTTTAGATTGGACATTAGGAAACACTTTCTGTCAGGTGGTTAAACACTGGAATAATCTATCTCCATCATTGGAGATATTTAAGAGCACGTTGGATAAATCTCTATCAGGAATGATCTAGATGGTGCTTGCTCCTGCTGTGAGGGCAGGGGACTGGACTAGAGGACCTCTAAAAGTCCCTTTCAGCCCTATGATTCTATGAATTTTACAAAGATGTGCTGGTAGATGTGAACATTTAGAACCACACTACATGCTGACTCTTAAAGAGCTCATATTCATAGATTTTAAAAGCAAACTGAAGAATTAAAAGGACACACACTTTTATCCATTTAAAATGTATCTACGTTGTTTTGCAGTTAAGCCTCTTTATTGCAGCACTAACATTTATAAATGTAAACTTAAAAAACAAAAAATAGTGTGCTAACACTTTAAAGACTAACAAAACACATAGATGGTATCATGAGCTTTCGTGGACATAGCCCACTTCTTCAGATGACCGGACCTTTGTGTAGTTGATGGATTCCCACTCCATACGGCTGAATGCAGTGCCTTGCAAGTTCAAAAGCTTCAGAGGGGTAGCTGAGTTAGTCTGTCCAGGATAAACTTAAAAAAACAATAAATGGTCTGGTAGCACTTTAAAGACTAACAAAACATGTAGATGGTATCATGAGCTTTCGTGGGCACAGTCCACTTCTTCAGATGACTGGACCAGACTATTTGTTGTTTTTTAAGTTTATCCAGTACAGACTAACTCAGCTACCCCTCTGAAGATTTAGAAATGTATCATTCATGCGTTACAAGTGTGACTATGCTTCATAGAGTACAGAAGTTCCTTTACTGTTTTGTAACAACTTTAAGAAACCCAGGTCAACTAGGCAGAATGAAGAAAAGAAAAAGGTAACTACTTACATTACTCTTTTTCGTACTGGAGAAAGACTGTCCACCCATGAAGCATCAGAATAAGTATTTTCAGAATTGTTGACTGACTGCAGACAACAGTTACAATTTTAGTGTAAAATGTTTTGGAAAACATAAAAAAATGGCAAGTTTTGCTATAAATTAGGACAGTTACACATTAGGAAAAAACCCTCTGAACTAAGGTTAGGAGACATGGGTTTAGGGATAGGCCCAAACCAAAAAGATTGGATCAGGATATCAAATGCTTCAGTAGTTCCTGGTTCTGGGCCTTGACTCAACATACTGTAGAGAGAGAATCCACTTACAAATTTGCTACTGAATTTAGTTTTAAATTTAAAAACATGTTTTCCCTTAAGTTTGCTGGGTGCTGCAATCCAGAAGTTTTGTTTGTTACTCCATTTTCAGTGTTGTTGACTATGCAGGTCCTTTGCCTTCACCATTTCATATGCATACCATTTCTATGTGTTCCCATCTTCCCATGCACATGCTGAATCCTTCTCTAATACAAGCTAATTCAGTGTCATTCTGCTTCCTTTGCTTCTCCTGATGAGGATTCCCTTGATATGGAGGAATCCCAGTGTGCATAATTGGCTCCTATACTTCCTTCCTGTGGTCCCCAGTTCAGGCAACATAAGGAGGGGGGTTAGAGCCTGACTGGAACGTGCTGTGCTCAAGTTATCCTTGCCTGGTTCATGTGCCCTATGAGACAATAGTCATCTGGCACCAGCCTCAAGTCTCTAACCTGTGCCTAGGCAAGGACCAAGAATCAAAGAGTCAATTACCTCTCTTAGCATGTGGACTGTGCTGTACAGCAAGGAATCTAGCTGTCAAGATTCATTGTTTGCTTGCTTGTATCTAACGGTGTACTTCTACAACTTCCAAAAGTTGTAATTAAAATTATTTCCCCTCTCTGACATGAAAGGATATTCTTAATCATTCATAAAACCCATGTCATAATGGGAAAGGATTCATGAACCTATAAAACATGCCAAGCCAGTAACAACAAGAATACAAATCTTTTTCTGTTGATAAAATGCATTGATCTTAGAAGACTCATAATTTGAAGTTTGTATAAATGGGCATCTCTGTTTGACCATGAATGTTGACAGATCTGGTTAACATCAAGTAATAGCTTTTCTTTTCTTTCTGCAGATGCATGGAATATTTTCAGTGATGTAAAACAGAGTACTTACACTCTCATTCAGTAATGGGGTGGCTTCTGATGAAACTGAAGAGCTTTGAACTTCACTTTTTACAAAAAGAAATATGATAGTGCTATGAGGAGAAAAAGACATTAAAATATACCAAATATTCATTTGCGAGGTCATAACATTGAATATCCGAGGGCACAAACAAATAGTTAGAGGCATACTCCTCATTTTCATTTTGTTCCTGTTTTTCATCTTTCATTTGACAATGTCACATTTCAATGTATCTTGAAATGAACTCTTAGCTAGCATGATTACTCTTATTTATTAATTTAAAGGATAAGTATATAATCTGATCAAATCTACTTTTAAAAATTTAGTACAGTCCTTATAGTTATCCCTATCATAATAATAGGGTGCAAATACCACTCTTCTGAGATATCATTGCATTATTTTTCTAAAGATGTTTGTCATAGCCACACACTGTATTTTCAAAGTATAGCAGATGTACACTGGGATGTCCTAAAAGCTGAGAGAAAGGAGGAAAAAAGAATGAGACCCTCTTTCTAAAAAAAGCAAAAGCATATTACATTTACCATAACTAGGATTTAAGGAGAGTAACTAAACAGTTCATAATGAGAATGTGTTAACACACATTTACATTCACAGTCTCTGTGCAGCTGGCTCAACAGCTTTCTGCACTTTTTTTGGCCTGGGATGTAAACAGAGAATAGAAACTCTAAAACCATTTCCTCTGATTTGTTTAAGTGCTACATGTTTTTCAGTTAAATTAAACTGGAAATATTAAGCCCCTCTTCAGATGGATAAAAGTGGGGGATGTTCAGGATTAGACAGAGGTACCAACATATTTAATTTTCATTTGATCAGGTAAATGTGTGCAATCAGGATTAGCAGGGTTTATTTTTTAGTGCCAAGGAATGACGGGCATCATGCATAGTTCTTCTCCTTCCTGAGAGGACAGGAAGGAGTATTGGGAAGAAGGGAATGTCAGCTTCCTCAATGAAGACCGGGCAAACACACACTGTCCCCCCTCCAGGCCTCTGAGGCTTAGAAGAGATGCTTAAATCATGAGTTCCATCCTCCCTAAGGCTATGTCTACACTCATGGCTTCTTGCACAAGTATTATGCAAATGAGGCTAAGCGTGGAATATCGCTGAGCCTCATTTGCATACTTAATGAGCCACCATTTTTTTCAGAAGAGGCTCTTGCCTTGTCTACTTGCCTTGCCCCTTGCGCAAGAAAAACTCTCTTGCGCAACGCCGTTCTTCCTGAAAAGTAATAGGTGTAACGGCGTTGCGCAAGAGGGTTTTTCTTGCGCAAGATTCTTGCACAAGAGCCTCTTCTAAAAAAAATAGTGGCTCATTAGGTATGCAAATGAGGCTCCGCGATATTCCACACTTAGCCTCATTTACATATTACTTGCGCAAGAAGCCGCGAGTGTAGACATAGCCTAAGTGTTTGAAAAGTGTTTTGCAAAGAGTATCTGCTCCCATATATAAAGAAAGACTTGAAAGCCCTAGAGGTGAGACGTGAAGGATGCCATGGTTGGGAAATTCCTGGAAGCATGGCTTCAGAGCTTCACTACTGGGCGGTTGCCAGAGCCTCTGGGGACAAGAGACAGTGTGGATGCCCCTAGATTCAGATGAATCCACAGAGTCTACTGGGTTTGAGGAGGGGTCCTATGGCCTAGTCTATGGAAAGGGGGAAAGAAGAAGCAAATTCCACCCCTGAAGGATTGATATAAGACAGATACCACCAGGAGATGATAGTTTTTTCCATGGAAGACTTTGCCAGACAACAATTAGGAAAGTGAAACATTTGAGGAATGTAACTATGACATCAATTATTCTACAGCTGGGATAGTATTTAACATGTCCATTGGCAGAAAAATGTTCTCCATTTATCAAGAACTATTTTGCCACTGAACTGGAATTCACATTTGTCTAATTCTGAAAATATTTCTCTATCATCCTGGATAAGACAACTTACTAAGTTTTAAACGATCTGCTTTTACAAAATTTATTCAACTTGCAAAAATCCTCTCCTATAAAATCAATACATCAGTTTTTAAATCTGATTTTTCAGATCAAAGGACTTGTTTGTTATTGGGAATAATATTTACCTTAACACTGAAAGTCCAGCTCCGATATAATTTAAGATGGGTTTTGATACCTCTTCTGGGTCAATTCCAAACCAGCCGAATCTGGAACATTTAACCACAGTTGCATTTGATTCCATCTATGATATACTTACAAATTTTAAATTAGAGTTCAGACTTGGAAATCCTTATTAATGCAACAGTCTTGCCAGACCCCTGGGTAAGGTGGGAGCCCTGCTTTGCACCACTGGAAGGGGCAGGGCTTTAGGCAGAATGGGCAGGGCTGGGCATCCCTCAGCATTGCCCAAAGAGCGGTGCATCACTCTAGAACTAATTTAAAGGGCCCATGGCTCCGTCTAGTCCTTTTGCCCCCACCATCTGCGAGCTTGTTAATGCAAGTAGTTCCACTGAAATTCAGATTACCAGAACTGGATTTGTGTTTAGTGAAGTTTTGCCAAAAGGTATATAATTGCCCAAGAGAAAAAAAAAATTTAATCCCGCACAATTATGATGATAAAGAAAATAATGAAAGTACAAATAGCATTTCACATGCACATGACAAATATAATTGCATTTAATCAGATAAGTGAGCATCTAGGCTCTTTTGCAAAAAAGATGCAGTAAAACATTTTCTTCTTCTTGAGACTCTCACAAATAAGGAAGCACAATGGATTACAATTAGACTGAATATTTTAGTGGGAGAAAGAATTATTTTCTATTTGATACTTCTTTTATATTCTTGGCAAGTGTTTTCATTAGAGTTGTTAATGAAAAAATGACAGCAATCATGGAATGAATTTAAAGTTTAAATGCGGTTACCTTGAGCTTGCCCAGCCAGTTAGTAAATTAAAAGAAGCCCAGATTAAGAGCCCAAGACCTAAACCAATGGTTTTGACAATAGGGACAACTGTAATGTTACCTGCAATGTGGAAAAAAACAAAAGCAAAATTATTCTCTTGCTAAAATATTTTGGTTTTAAAATTAAGAGGTTGTATTGTATTTTGAACTGCAATGTGGTTTATATTGGAGATGTAAGCGACTATTTGACTATCCGATAAGCAAAAGCTTATCAGATAGTCGACTAGTTCATCGACTAGTTGCTCCCCAGCCCCGCCACCGCCTCTTGCAGTGAGGGGAGGAGCAAGAGCTGGAGCCAGTTTAAAAGCCGGTTTCCCCCAGCACAATCTCCGCAGAGGGTAGGGGAGTAACAGGGGCTGGGCACAAGCCAGGAATCAGTTAATTCCTAATTCACGCCCAGTCTCAGACACTGCAGCTCTGCTCTTTAAATGTATTAAGAACCTGATGGCTCTTAATACATTTAAATATCAGAAGTGCAGCGGGAGAGGAGGGAGTTCAGTGAGAGGCAGTGCAAGCCAGGACAGCTGATTCCTGACTCGTGCTGGGTCTCCCCCCACTGAGCTGTAGCCTTTTAAATGTATTAAGAGCACGTGGGCTCTTAATACATTTAAAAATCAGCTCAGCAGGGGAACCCAGCACGAGCTGGCAATCACTGGTCCCCGCTCGCACTGGGTCCCCCCGGCTGTGCTTCAGCCTTTTAAATGTATTAAGAGCCTGATAGCAGAGCTGCAGCAGGATTAGTTGCTGGGACCGGGAGCTAACCATGCTGCAGCTCCCCTGCTTATCAACTAATCGACTAGACTAGTTGATTAAACTATATTTAACATCCCTAGTTTATATGACCAGATCTTTTGAACACCACCACACACAATATGTGGTACAAAATGATGTTAAATATTTAACAAGTGCATGCACAAACAAACAAAAACCTCAACCTTTATTCAATTCTTCATCATCCACCATTTTAAAAGCTAGCCTTAGTGTGAATTAAGTGCTTACAAAAGGAAGATGCACACACCTCTGACCTATAAGAATCCTTGGTATTCTGGTCCTAAATCTCTCTTAAAAAGAGAATGCCATTTATGTTTTAGGAATAAAAAAGGCCTGTATTTCTGAGTTTTTATATTTGCCCTTATCTACTACAGGCAGTCCCCGGGTTACATGGATCCGACTTACATTGGATCCCTACTTACAAATGGGGTGAGGCAACCCCGCACTAGCTGCTTCCCCCCAGCAGACTAGGGAGATGCGAAGCTAGCGCCTCCCTCCCTGCCAGCAGACCAGGGAGACGCGGAGCGGCTTTTCTCAGCAGACACCTCAGCTTGAGAATAAAGGACTGAGGGAAGTGAGGTGTGGGAGAATAAAACTGAGCTCTGGAGAAATGTTTGGCTAGAGTTTCCCCTACAATATGTACCAGTTCCGACTTACATACAAATTCAACTTAAGAACAAATGTACAGTCCCTATCTTGTACTTAACCCGGGGACTGCCTGTATATATTTGAGAGTTTGTCTGTCTGTTCAAGAATTCCTCCTAAACTATAAGGCTGTGTCTAGGATTGCACGGATGCAAATTAGACACAGCGGAATTGCAAATGAAGTGGGGATTTAAATCTTCCCCGCTTCATTTGCATAAACATGGCTGACGCTTTTTTCCGGCTCGGGGCTTTGCTGGCAAAAAGCGCAAGTCTAGACGGGGATCTTTCGGAAAATAAAGCCTTTTCCGAAAGATCCCTTATTCCTGATTTTAAAAGGCTTTATTTTCCAAAAGATCCCCGTCTAGACTGGCGCTTTTTGCCGGCAAAGTCCCGAGCCGGAAAAAAGCGACAGCCATGTTTATGCAAATGAAGCGGGGAAGATTTAAATCCCCACTTCATTTGCAATTCCGCTGTGTCTAATTTGCATCCCTTTTACGGAAAAGGGGTGCAATCTAGACACAGCCTAAGAACTAGGATCACCAAATTTGGCATACAGCTTTTTCTTATAACTTAAAGCAAGGTAAGACTTCGGTTGTGGCAGGAAAATGAGATGTGCCTGGAATGGGATTGCGTCTCATAAAACCATACAGAAAAGAGAAAGAATTACCAGGCAGGTGAAAGAAGATGGCTGGGGGTGCACTCCCCCATGTCTGGGACTGCCTCAACCCTGAGTCTTCGACTCTCACCTGACCCCAAGCTGCTGTGGTGAGAGAGGGCTGAGGTAGTCCTCTCTCTCTGGAGCAGCTTGCATTCTGAACCCCTCATTACCACCACAGAGCAATGATATAAATGAAGAAAAAAAGAGTTAAGAGCCTGAGCAATGCCAGGTAAATATTTGAGAGGGAAGAGCCTTAGCTTGGCCCATCCCTGCGGCCAGGGGGAGGGAGCTGGTCCAGGCTTGGCCCAGACTAACCCTCTGGCAGCCTGGGGTAAGGGACAGCCGGTGCTGGCCTGGCCTCAGGGGGCCCCGGTGGCTAGGGGGGGGAGAGAGCCGGGGCAGTCCAGGGATGCCACGCCTCAGCCTGGTCTTCCCTAGCGGCCATGGGAAGAGCTGGGACTGCTGATCCTCAGAGAGGGGGTTTGACAAGCAAAGTTTGAGCCGGGGGTGCAATCCCCTAGTGGCCATTTAAAATGTAAGCCTTTATCCTATCTTGCTGTATAGATAAGGTAACTTCAGCATCCTCTGTTTCTTCAGCCCATATTTCATAAGGGCATTATTTGGTACCTGTATTACTTTTAGTTTTTAAATAAGGCTATAAAAACTACCATCAGTGATAAAATTATAAAATACCACGTTCACAGTAATACACACAATAATGGCAGAGATCCAACAGTGCTGACAATAACAAAGATCTGTTTAGTATATCAATTATTTCAATGTTATTATCTCTGCCTCCTCTAAGGAATTAGTTGTATTGTGTCTCTGAAGAAGTAGGATCTGTTCCTCTTTACCTGTAGCCCATACACAACCCCCAACCATAGCAAGAGGCCAAAACCTAGGGCTATTCCGAATAAGGTTCACCACCAACGATACTATCCATATCGCAGCACAGAGAATCCATTGGAAGAACATTCCTAGGTAGAAAACAGATATGTTAATGGTTACAATATTTTCCACAAGGTTATATTCTGGGGTAAGATATTAGCAAGCAACTAGTTATTTCTGAGTTCTCACATTCTCTGTACACTTGCTAACTATGCTTACATGGATAAAGTTAATATAATCCTGATCCTCAGGTGCACATGAGCTCTGGTTGGCTCCTTGAAGAGGATCGAGTTAAATTACTTTCCTCCTTCAGTCCACTCTCCACCACAAACACATTAGAGTAGCTTCTAGGCTGGTTTAACTTGCACTGTGGGGTCCTAGAGCTATTTCATTAACACATAAGGAGGTTTGGCTGTATGCTCTGGCCAAACCTCCTCTACCTCCCAGAAGATCCTGTACTTGGAGTGGCTAAGCATGGGTGACATATTTGCTGGTTTTATGCACCTTCCCAGGAATTCCCTTACAAAAAGGAAATCCTTGGTTGAATATTTAAGCAAACTTTTTGTCACTTTAGCAGTGCTGAATTGGCATAAAAAGAGGATAAAACAGAGGCTAGGATTCAACCTGAAAAGCAGATATGGTTACAGAAAAGGAACCTGTGATAAGTCTTTTTTGATCATGACACAGTGAAACCAATGAACAATAATATGCCTTCATATATACACAGATACAGCACAATCCCAGTGCAAAGCAAGTGAAGTGCTGTGGTAAAATCATAAATAGCAAGTAGGAAACTAGGCACTTCACTTTTTGCTTTTCCATCTTGCAGCCCACCTGTAGTTTACTCTGTTACTCCTAAGTGGATGGCAACAAGGGCCTCTAAAAAATTTCCTGCGTCCTGAAGTGTTTCTGATTGTTTTTACTAAAAGCATTGTTGTGAAGAACAAATGCTGTACTTCCATCACCTCACTCTCTATAGCTTTAGGCTGAGCTGGATCTAATATTGATCTAGCTCAGTAGTCTCAATAACCAGACTCCACATTCTTTCTGCTAGTGTGTAAAACATAAACATTGTCCTTTCAAGTAATAAAACACAGAAACTATTTACCATCTCCAGTATCAAATTTCTTAACAGGTACAAAGTTTGTCCCAAATAAAAAGACAGCAATCGCAGAAGAGGTAAAGCCGATAGTGAGGTCTGTGCCACTGTTATTGACAGAGCTGTTATTTGCCCTCCAGTTGTTCATTTTGGGTCTGAAAGTGCTTCTTGTTATGGTGCTGTTTTAATGAAGATCCATTCAGGCAGCTTCTGAAAACAGACCAGAATTAAACCAATATATGTCATCGGATCATAACAGTCCTACAGGAGCATGATTTTTAGTAATGGGGGAGTTTAAAAAAACCTCCTGCTTTTCTACCTCCCCAAAACTGGAAAAAACTGTAGGAATAATATAGTCTAATGAGCTACTGCCATATAATTTAAATAAGGGGGAAACAAAAAGAACACACATGAAATACAGTATCATCTCAAAAGCAACTTCAAGCAGACAATCCTTTGGAGATATAAAACATGAATAGTTAAAGAACAGATAGAGACATAATACAGAATTATGAATGCTCAAATGTATCCAGCTTAAAGGAAGGTCCATGGTTCTTTATAGAGAGGTGCGAATATTGGAACATTAGAATGATCCCAGCTCTAGAATGCTGCTATGGGAGACCACCTGGAACCAAGTAGGCTGATGTCTTTTGGGTTTGCATGACAGCAAATATTAGGCAATTCAGTGTAATCATCTTCCTACAGTGGAGGAAGTCTTGGCAGTGAGAGTCTAGTCCTACCACACTGCCTAGCAACCAGAATGGAGGGGAATGTGGGCAGTGCAGTGGTTCCAGAGTCAGTATGGAAGCTCAGGACTGATAGAATTTAAGGGGCAGAACCCTCAGTTTTTCTCTGTGGAGTGTAAGGGGGACTCGATGGGTTACTTTCTTAAATCTCCATAGAAACTTGGGAAGAACTCAGTGAGGGAAAGCTTATTAAGGTTTTCCTCACCCACTAGCCCCACTGCTGTGGGATTTTTCCACAGGAAGGGCTGCTTTGGACCTAAGTAAAATTTTTCTGAAATGTAATTTAGCCTTAGCCAAGGGGAAAATGGTTTTTCATGGTTTTTTTGGTAGATTTAAGTCACAGTTTAATGTAAAGCTATTTCATGTTTTTTCTTTATTTCACTTATGTAAACTAGCATTTTGTTTGTTTGCTGACACAAACACTACTGAAATGCTGTTTAATGTAGGTAGAAGCATTTAACATGTTTGCTCACTGAGCCATTGTATTAATCTGCAAGTCAAGTAGGAGATCATATTTGCTCTTGCAAAAGAAAAATCTTACTCTTAGGAACACTGACTATTGGTTTTCCTGCTTTCATTACATTTCTGCAAATACAATATCCTGTAGCTTTTATTCTCATAAAACATGATAGTGCTTTCAGCTGCTTTTCAAAGGGGGGAAAGTTTGTGCTCTTTTGAACTTCACTACTGTGTATAAAGGAGCCCTAAAATGTTTTTATTTATGCCCAGGAGACAGAGACTGTGTCTAGACTGTAGGATTTTTTCAAAAAAAAAAAAGCCTTTTTTTCGAAAAAACTTCACCTGCGTCTAGACTACAGCCACGTTTTTTCGAAGTTAAATCGAAAGAACGCTGCTTTTCTTTCTACGGCGGTACTCCTCATTTCACAAGGAAGAACGCCTTTTTTCAAAAGTGCTCTTTCGAAAAAAGGCGTTCTTGAATGCAAACAGGACTTTTTCTAAAGAGAGCATCCAGACTGCCTGGGTGCTCTCTTTTGAAAAAGCGGCTCACTTTTTTGAAAGAAGAGATTGCAGTCTATATGCTCTTTTTCGAAAGTATCTTTCGAAAGAGGCTTGCAGTCTAGACGTAGGCAGAGTGTGCAGTGGAAAACAAGAGATAGTTGGGCTTGTTTCTGACATTTAAATTGTTATATTGTGTGCTTTGGAAGACGATGTGTGACTTGAGAAGTATTCACACTAAGGGTACGTCTAGACTACCGCGTTTTGTCGACGGAAGTTTTGTCGACAGATACTGTCGACAAAACTTCCGTCGACAATTTGCGTCCAGACACATGGAGTTCTGTCGACAAAGCAAGCCGCTTTGTCGACAGAACTCCGTAGTCTGGATGCAGTGTTACAGGCAATAACACCTTCTGTCAACAGAGTTCTGTCGACAGAAAGTGTTATGCCTCGTAAAATGAGGTATACCAGCGTCGACAAAACTGCGGAGTTCTGTCGACGTTATGTCGACAGAACTCCGCAGTAGTGTAGACGCTGGTATTGTTTTGTCGACAAAAGTCCACTTTTGTCGACAAAACTAGGTAGTCTAGACACACCCTAAAGGTTGGACCTCCCAGGTCCAGCACTCTCGGGACCTGACCAGTCTCAAACAAGGGAATTTGCTGGACGGGGGAGTCCCTTGCCACTGGTCCCCAGCCCACAGCTGGATCCATTTCCAGCCCTGGCTAGTCACTGGCTCTGCAGGGCTGCCTGCCACCAGCCCAGGCTTGGCTTGCTCCTGAGATGTGGTGGCCACATCTGCTATCTGGCTGCTGCCAGGCCCAACAGGCTCCCAGTTGCCAATTCTCTTGCTGGGAACATCAGGAGAACATCCATTCTCTGACCTGGGAACATCCGTTGTTTTTCCGGACCATGGATGTTACTGGACCAGAAAGCCCTGGTTTAGGGAGATGTAATCTGTACATGACAAGTACAAAAGAAACCTCTGATTAAACTGTAAGTTTACAATTTTCTGTTTTCCTTAAAACCTATTTGTCTACAGCACTTAGAAGAAATGATAATTTTAAGATTCAGCACTTTCACTTCATTTAAGGTTTGAAAAAGTTTCCAATAGTCAGACAAAGTCTTCCAACAACAATTAGAGGAACAAAGAAGACAAGGCTTGTCATTTCTGCTAATTCAAAGCCAGGAGGAGCGGGGGGAAGGAGGAGAGGGCACAAAGCAGAAAATGAATTTTGTACATGAAGGAAAGGAACCTTCCAGTCTCCTTGCATACATCCTAAAAAAGGACACAAGGTAATGTTTTTTTATTTGATGATCACCTCTAAAGACTGAAGTGTCAAGGTTGCTTACTATTGATATAATATAAATACTGTTTGAAGGCAGGACACTGACAGCTACTAAGTATGCTCCAAGTAAGGAAACTCCAATCTTCATATATACACCCAGACCCTGTCTGCAGATTCTACACAATTTTATGTACTTTCTCTTTCTTACAAAAATTGGTCATTGCAATGCTCTTTTTTCTAATAATTCCTGATTCATCAACATTACTCACATGAGCAACTGCAGTTTGTCCATCTATGAATCAAATTCACCTAGCAAGAGGCTCTCATTACTAAATCAGGACCTTACTAAGTCTCCGTCACATCTCACCCAACCAAAGCAGTGGAATGAAAGCCAGGGTGGACTCAGGGCTTGAAGTACTGTACCTGGTTGTGGTTCAGTTCTGACAAGGACAACATAATGTTGCTAGGCTGGGGAGAGCAGCAGCCAGAAGAGTTGGCAAAACTCACATTGGCTTCCTTCACAAGAGGAGTATGATTTGCATTTATCAAACAGGAACATAACTTGGAGTTGATATTTGATCCTTGGTTGACTTATTGCTCCTACCCTTTCCTGTTATAGTCCAGGTTTGTTAACCTCCCAGACACGCCAAAGATTATCTTTTTCCTCTGGGTTGAGGTGAGTATGAACTGAGGGGGAATCTATTTACAGGCCACCCTTTATGATTATGCTGATCTGGCACAGCTGGTCCTGCCCTACCACAGGGCTGACCACCCCTCTGCTGGCTGGCCCTTCACAGGGATTTGCAAAGGGCATGTTAACTGGTTATTAGGTAAGGATGCCAGTAAGGCTAATGTTTACAGGATAACCAGTTAACCTTTCACATCCCTAATTCTTCCAGATGTTGGGGTGACAGCAGCACTGCAGGATAGACGGTTGCTATAGTCTCTGTAGAAATTTTCCGTTCCCCTTCAGAACGAGGGGAAATCTGGGGTGTCCTGTTAAACGTGCTTTAAGTGTGTTTTGTATTGCCAATAGCAAGGCTGATGATCTGACAGCATTAGCAAGATTTTGAGCTGGTATAAACTGACACTGATTCATTGATGTCAGTGGAGTTTTGGTAATTTACACCAGCTGAAAATCATGTCCCATATTTTCATTGTATTTCTTTAGAAAATATCCCACCGTTAATTTGTGGGCCACAAAGAAAACACATACAATACAGCATTTACAATTTGCTATGCTTCCTGTAGTTAAGTGTGAAGACAGGGATCCTACCCCAAAAGAACTTTCATCTCAAGATGGATAAAGGATGCTGTTAAGACTTCAGAGAAATTTTAGCTTGCTCTGGGATATGGAGCTTTGCTGATAAAACAGATGCTTTTCGAGGCTGCATGCATTATTGACACTTCATTCCTGCCCTGGTATCCTGGACCCCTTAACTCCATTCATCTGAAGAAATAGGTTGTGCCCATGAAAGCTCATGATACCATCTACATTTTTTGTTAGTCTCTAAGGGTACATCTACACTGCGGGCTAAAGTCAAGTTAAGAGATGCAACTTCAGCTACATTAAGGCTGTGTCTAGACTGCATCCCTTTTCCGTAAAAGGGGTGCAAATTAGACACACTGCAATTGCAAATGAAGCTGGGATTTAAATCCCCCCTGCTTCATTTGCATAAATATGGCTGCCGCTTTTTTCCGGCTCAGAGCTTTGCCGGAAAAAAGCTCCAGTTTAGACACGGATCTTTCGGAAAATAAAGCCTTTTCCAAAAGATCCCTTATTTTAAGCCTGCCAGGGTGGAGATCATGTACCTTATTCAGGTTTGGGGGGGATGCCCCCAACATCCATGATCTCTGCACTAGACAGAGGAATGTGGCCGTCTATGGCAGGATAGCTGTCAGCCTGGCCACCAAAGGCCACATGTGAAGCCAGGAGCAGGTCTGCATGAAAATCAAGTTGGTCCCATGAGACCTCCAACCCTGAGCTTCCCCTTGCTTCCCCCAATTTTTAAGGATTTGTTTCCCAGTCAGAGTTCTTGTACAGATGACCTAAGGTAAAATTGTCACTTGGTGGAATTGGGCTCAGCTTCAGAGACTTCAATGAAGCTGTGCTCATCTATATCAGCAGATATTTCATCCTTTTATCTCAATCACTCCAGAAGAATTAACTAGGTGAATTACTATATTCAGATCATTAACATACCCACAAAAACAGTGTAAACACCGTACATACTCGCTTTCATTCACTTCATTCATTGCCTTTACATGATTAAATTTATTTTAATTATTGAAATTTCTTAATTTAAATAGCATTAGCTTGCTTTGATTTTAATGATATGGTTATATGGATTGAATTTTTTACTCTGTCAGTCCAACTGATGGCTTTAGTTTCATTTTTCTCTCCCCCCCTTTTGTTTATGAAATTTAACATTTCCTTTACAAATGTTTCCTCTCTTCATGTTCTGTTTTCGCTAGTGTGACTCTCCTTGCAGTCACTTTGCTCACATTATAAAATCCTAAGCACATATCCATGTTTTCCTTTACTTACAATTGTTTCTTTGCAATTCCGACTTCCTGCACTGACTTGTTCTGCAGAAACTCCTGGGATCCAGCTGTAGCTCCTCCTCCTCATGTGATCAAGGCTCCCCCTTCTCTTGCATTTATTTATTGTCTTTGAGGCACATTTGCTACGGAAGGGAATGTGTAATACTACATATGTGCTGAGCGGGTCGGGGAAGGCATAACTCCCACATTGCAAATAAAGCACAATAGCCTTCTGATGCTGACCTCTATACCCCATCGTCTTCCCTTTTGTGGCTCCGATGTACAAGCAGCTGCTTCATGTCATGTGTTTGGGTCTGATCACGAGTCTAGGGCGCTGACAGGAGCAGGAGGAGGAGCCTGGGCTGCAATAGCTAAGGCAGTTTGGGTGCAGTGTTTGAAAAGTGCAGGCTTAATTTAACTCCATTTTTTTTTATTTCCAATACTTAAAGCATTCTTAACACCCCTCCCCCCAACCCTTTAATGCTTTGAAAGGAGACAGGCATACCACTGATATGTGCCTGCAGCTTTAACTAGCTAGTAGTTTAATTTTGTTGTGGGGAGATATACGTTGATAGATAAATAGACAGCGCCCTATCATACTAAAAAAGAAGTGAAAAGAACGTTCTTGAGGTTTCACAGTTAAATGCTTAAAATGTAGGAAATGCCAGAAGGAAGGTTGCTTGTGCAATGTTTATTCAGCCCCTTTGTGCCTGTGCATTAAAATACAGCCTTTAATTACTATTTTTTTCCTGCATCATTCAACGCTCAGGATGTATGGTGCTCAATGATTGAGCTGCTAATCAATATTCAGTTTTCTCCTTATTCCATGAGTGGTCCCAATCCCAAGCCTGATTTACTGCACACTATTCCAACCCTGCTCTGGCAACAGGGTTGTTAACTTCCTGACAGGTGCTTCTGTAGAGCTTCTCTCTCTCATTTCTGAATGCTCCACAAACATTAATATTTTATTTTAACAATGCTCTGGTGAGGTAAGGGGGCGATACACATTTTACACATGTGGAACAGAGTTTAAGATCAAAAGTTTCTGACAGTTTTTAGTGATCGATATTGATAGAGATGTAGCCGTGTTAGTCTGGTGTAGCTGAAACAAAATACAGGACTATGTAGCACTTTAAAGACTAACAAGATGGTTGATTAGATAAATGATAATCATCTAATAAACCATCTTGTTAGTCTTTAAAGTGCTACATAGTCCTGTATTTTGTTAGTGCTCAATATGGCTTTTTCAGAGGATTTGCAATTTTTATAATCACTTCTTAAGGTCAAAGCATCACTGGAATCTATTTCTTTTGCAGGAATGAGCATTCAGCTGTTCTGAAAAACTAGTTCTATGGGGGTGAAGCTTGACAACCCCAAAATTAGGAAGACATAATTAGTGGTCACGTGTGAAAGTTTTGGTTTAAATGGCTTGTCCAGTATCACTCTGTGGTAGAAACAAGGAATCGAATTTCCTGGGTGGGGTCTTGTGGAAAAGCTACTGAGTGCTTATGTAATTAGAGACTGATTGGATCATAATGCACAAGCAGGCAGAATTAAGGTTGTGCCTTAATTATGGACTTTTCAACTTCCCCTTTCTGTTTCACTCCACTCCCACCTGCTGCTGTTCATTTCTCCCTCCCCCATTCCACTTTGCTGCTTACTCAATTTTGTCTCCTATATTCAAGTTTAAAGTATGTCTTCATCTTGTTTGTTTCTTCACTTTTTTTTCAAATTAAGGTTCAATTATATTAGTGTGTGAGATGCTTATGTTTTCAGAAATAAAACAACAAAGTTCATGCCTGAAATAATTCCTTAGAAGTTGAGGTATGCATGAGCAAAACCTTGCTTGCATCTTTCATTATGGCTATTTCTATTGTATGGATTGTGGGTTGCCTGAGGATGGCATAGATCTGATACACAGAGCTTTACCATGGTGCACAAATATGTTCTCTAGATAAATGCAACCAAGAACTATCACAAAACTTTAGGTAATTTTAAATTCACTTAGTGAAAACAGTGGCAGGGTTGTACCAAGGGGAGAGGGATTTTTATGTAAAAGTAAGTTGGAATGGGGTAGAACAAAATGTCTTGCACTGATAATTGGCTGATTCTTTGGTTGTGACTGCCTTGGCTGATTTCTATCTGGATTGGTTCCCTGGAAAGGAATCTTTGAGAATACTTGATGGATGGTCATATTTTCCAGCCTTCATCATCTCTCACCAAATTCCTAATGCTTGTTCCAATACAAACTGCCTTGGGAAAGCCATGTTATCACATGAAAGGATTGGGAAAAAGATAATGCAGTGACATTGGCTGATTTTATACACAGGTAAGCAGGGTCTGCATCAATGCTTTCAGTACAGCCAGCTGGAATGGAAAAGGAATCCTGGGTGTGGTTTTGCTCACTCGGTTGTTTAGCCCTGTAAGGTATTCAAGTGTTATGTAAATACAGTTCATGCTAGAATGGGAAAGAAATCCTGGATGTGGCTATGTAATTACAGTTCAGGCAGGTTGCTATAGGCCTGATAGATATTTAATTGTTAGAATGGTATTTTGCCTATTGTAACTAATTTGGCTGTTGTGGGGTCACAATCCATGTTAACCCTAAATGTAGGAATTATAAAATATGATCACCAGTGCTTGCGGTTATCGGGAATTCAGAAAAGCAACTGTGTTTAACTCAGTCAAAGGAGAGACACTGTCAGTGTAAAGAATCCCGGATGATCCCCCTGTCGCACCCCAAAAATGTAACCCTTCTGCCAGGTAGTGCCAGCAGCAGCCAGGGCTAGGTTCAATATCTAGGGGCTCCTTTTCATCCATCCAAACACAGAATTGGCTTGAACTCCCACCCAGTAACCTGGGAAATTAACACACCACCGCTAGGCACCTCTGGGAGGCAATGTGTCCCCACTCACATGCACAGAGTCTGAGTGTAGGAAAGAAACTTTTAATGAAAGAGGGAGAGAAGTTACGTGGCATTAATTTGGGAAAACATCACAAACAGAGTTCACAACCAAACCACAAGTAAACGTTCCAGCTCAAGTAGGTTTGACCATGTCCTTTGCCTCTTAGGCTCACAAGTCCAGCTATTCAAGTGTCCTATTCGTATGCCCAACTCTTCTCTGAACCCCACTCACAGTTGCTGCCCTTGGTCAGGAAAGACCAGACTTCAGAGGTGATCCCTGGAGGAAGGGATAGGAGGCATCTCACCCACTCCGCAGGTCCCTCGCCATCCACCTACTTGCTGCTCTCTGGCACCGCTTTGCTGGTTGCCTGCCTGCTGCTCACCACTGCTACTGCTGGCCACTCCCATCAGCTGCCTGCTGGCTGCTTGCTCCAACCATCCTCCCCATCGCTTCCTGCCACTGCTCCCAGCCTCACTGGAATATTGGTGAATCCAACGTCTTTCTGAAGGTAGGTGAGACAATATGTGAAAGCAAACTGTCCTAATCAGTAACTGTTATAACATTATTATTTGTTTACATTATCTTACCAGCTGGAGGCCCCAATTAAGTTTGGGGCCCCTCTCCTGTCAGTAAAACACAGAATCAGAGACCTGTAGTAGTACCAGTATATTCTAAAATTATCATATATCGAATAGATTTTTAAATACAACTGGCCTCCTGTGATAAGGCATACAAACGTGCAATGGGCAGGAAATTGTTTAAGGAGCTGCTATGGGCTCAAGAGCTCAATTCCATTACACCTGGAAGGTATGTCAGGCCTGCAAGAAGGGCCTTAGGAGGGAGAAGTCCTGCTTAATTGGTGGCTGCTGCCTTGGAAAAGAGGCCCGGCACTGAATTAATATTCCAGAACTCTTACCAGTAACTTGCCTGTGGGTGCTGAAATGTGCTGTTGTGAGGTCACAATCCATGTTAACCCTAAATGTAGGAATTATAAAATATGACCACCAGTGCTTGCGGTTATCGGGAATTCAGAAAAGCGACAGGGAAGGGAGCTTGGGTTTGCAGTGGTTATTTTTGTCTGGCCTCAGATGGGGTAGAGTTCCACAGCATTCAGCTGAAAGCCACAGGGGCTCTTTGCACACACAGGGATACTTGTGAGAGGCCGAGTCCATTACCCGCCTCCTCTCCAGTCAGTTCTGAAATCAGTGGTCATTATAATGTACTAAGGGACCAGCTACTGTCTCTTATCAGCTTCTCATTCCACTTCTGCAGCACTTCAGGTTGAGTACACTGAGGTCATTTTACTGGTCCAGCTGGTCAGATGTGCGGGTGCCCCTGAGATTATTGTGATAGTGTCTCGACTGTCCTTGGCATGTGGCAGGCTGATACTGACTGACCTGTAGAAACAGAATTGGAACATAAGAATGGCCATATTAGGTCAGACCAAAGGTCCATCTAGGCCAATATCCTATCTTTTAACAGTGGCCAATGCACTGCCAGAGGGCCTGAAGCACTGCCATGCTGTTAGAAAATATTGGTGACTGGCATCCCAGCTGAATCTGAGCCCTAGAAACAGAGTGAAGATTTTAAAAGAATGAGTCCTGCTATGAAAATCCCCCCAGTTTGTGTGCCCAAACCAGGTGCTCTGCAGGGGATTTCAGACCTCTCAAAGAGGCCTTTTACAAATCCCACTGTAAGGATATTACCAAGACCAATTAAAGCCTAGACTGTTAATCAGCATTTTTGGTTACAAAAGAAACATTTTCCCTTTATCTTTTTTAAATGTAGTTTCCAAATGGCAGTTCCAATCAATCTCTTCTGAAATAGAGCATAAACCTTCAGAAACAAAATGCTTCATGCTTCAAAGCACAAATCTACATCATCTGTCGTAACGACACAGAGTTTTTCCAGCTAACAGGTCCTCAGAACCATACATAACTGTAAGGCATAGATAGAAAATGGTCAATCAGTCAATTTCACCACAATGTATGTGTGTGGCACTTACAGAGATGAAGTGGATGATGTCTCTATGGAAACAATTTAGCGGCAGGGTATCTGAGAGGAACAACAGGTTACACCATAATGTTCAAATATTGTGCTGTGTGAAGAAGAGGGATCTGTCATCCCAGAGGCAATGTGTTCCTCTTTTGTGATTTTAATAATCATAATTAAAGCAAACTGGTAAACATCTTTAGCATTGAACTACTGCCAGTCCCCACAGAATAAGAGCCTCAACACAAAGCCAATATATTTCACCCTAGACCATCCTCTTCAGACATCAAAAGTAAAAGATAAACTTACTGTCTTTACACTTACCGTCACTACTGGAATGTGTTAAATAATGATTAGTTTCATTTGCAAATTGTGGCAAAAATTTGTCACTAGTTTTTGTCTGAAAAATTCTGACCAACTCTAATTACAGCCTCTTTCTTTTTTAGACAGATCTTCAGCCAGTTTCTTCTCTCCTCCCCTCCCCCCCCACACCTTGCTCAGATATTTGTTCCCTGTAGCTACTATGACAGACATGATGAAGTTGTAGAGCTGCATGTCATCTGTGTATTGAACACATTACAGCCCACATTTTCTCTTGAACCTTCCCATTGGCTTTCTATAACTAATGAACAAAAGGGGTGACACAATGGGCCCATCTGAACTCTGCATTGGGTTGTATAGAAAGGAGCTTGGGGGCCAGTTGTAATGTGGGGTTAATTAACTAGGGTTTCCAGGTGTCCGGTTTTGAACCGTCAGTCCAGTATTTGAGCTTTCTGTCCGGGAAACAAATTGAGAAAATACTGGACACACGAATATCTGATATTTTTTAATTCAGTAAGTTTTATTATTATCATGAGTATCAGTACGTAGTTGTATACTGCTTGGCTTGTAGACACGCTCACACTGCGTGAGTGTGTCTACCAGTCAGGCAGTATGCAACTACACAGTAGGGAGGAGGGGGGTGAGGCTGGGTAGGATGAAATCCCTGGGGCTGGACTCACCTGTGCTCCCCACAGGGACCGTGCACGAGACAGGCAGCACCCCAGGATCTGTGCATGCCCAGGCCAGCCCCGCTCTCCGCCAGCCGGTTCCACCCCAGCCAGCCCGGCGCCTCCCCTCCCCCCGACTCCTTCCCAGCCAGCACTGTTCCCCTCCCACTCGATCCCGCCACCCCCCGCCCATCCCGTTCTGAGATCACGTGTGTCCAGTATTTTTTTTTTAAACCCATCAGGTAACCCTATAATTAACCTACCGCATACTGTAAGGCAGACTCCGCAAACATATAGTGTTGGTCACAATAATCCTAAGGGCCAGTTTACCCTCAAAACAGGGTCCTTGAAGGTTTACAATAGGGCAGCATTGTTTAAACTAGTGCAACATGTGTACAGTAGAGATTTGCATTCATGCAGCTGCTTTGATAGAGCAACAGCGTGTCATAATCTGCATAGAACCTGGAGAAGATTGCAGGAGGTACGAGGAGACATCAGAAAGCCAGTCTGTGTGCACATGGTTTGAATGCTAATGGCAGTTGTGGCTAGGTGGCCAATTGTCCAGTTTTCAACCAGAAAGTCCAGTTGAAAATGGGGCCTGATGGTGTTCAGTCAGATCTACTCACTTCTCATCTAAAGTGCAGTTACTGTGGTTGGAGGAGGCATCAAGTAATCAACTGCACAAGCTCCTGCTGAGCCAGGGCTGCCTCCTCAAGTGAGTTGGGCAGCTGCAATTCTCAGCACTAGCTCTGCAGATGATGCCCTCCTCATCAATGCAGGGAGAGGAGTAGTAGGGAGGAAAAGCAGTGAATGACAGAGGGAGGGGAAAAGAGGAGCAAATTTGGGGGTGGGGCCTTAGGGAGAAGGGGCAGGGCAGAAGTAGGATATTGGGGAGTAGGCAGGACAGGATGAGGGAGGGAAGAGGCAAAGCAGGACAGGGCAGAGAGGGTGATCAGGGAAAACTCCAGCACTCTTGCTGGAGTGACCAGTTTTCAAATGTTACAAAGTTTGAAACCCTAGTTTGTAACATTTCAGTAAACAGGATTTTTAATGAAGAGTGAGTTTAGATGTAGAAATATGGAGTACATGACACAGCGTCAGGAGCAGGCTAGCCGGCTTACTTGCTGGCTTAACCCTTAGGGAGTCTAATGAGTGCTGCTGGGCCCGATGAGCTGCCTAATCGTCCAACAACTCAATTGTCTGAGGGGAGCAACAGTTCTGCTCTTAAGACCACCAGCAGCAGGAGGGTGGGGGCTGCTCATAGCATTTGCTCAGAGCTGTGTTAGCTCCTATGCCTGCTTGTTCCCAGCCTTGCTTCACTCCACTTGGCTTTGATTTGTTCTGACCTTTGGCGCAGGCATCTGGCCAGGGAAGGCATCTGGCTGTGGGTGGTTCTGCAGGGTGGCCAATGCTGCTATCTGGCAGCCATGACAGGGCCATGTGCATTGTCACAGAAACCCTGTGGAGATAAGTACCACTTCAAAAGACCAGACTGACAGCTTTCCTTTCCAACCATCCAGGCACCCTCTTTAAGATTAGGAGGAGTTTGAGGTAGTATCTTTGAAACATGTTGGACTCCCCTGTCAGTTGTAGTGACAGACCTACCTTTCAGCTTGCTCGTGGGCTCCTGACTCCAACTCTGACTTTCGGTGCTGTTCCCGATTTCTGTCCTCCCCAGCCTTATCACTCTGATCCTTGCCTCTGATTTCTGGCTACAGGCTCCTCCAGACATTAAAAATGTCCTGATCACTGATACACGAGGGTGCATAAATCCCTGCTGTGGATGGGGCCATGAGATTCATGCTTATTCACGAGGAAAAAGGAGGCCTGTATTTTCAGATGTCAATGGGAATTATAAATATCTGTCCATCAAGCAGATTAAAATGTATCCGGAAGATAAGAAGGCGGAGCCCAAAACAAGATGCCATTGAACAAAAAGAAAATTGAAACCCTATCTCGCATCACTATTTTCTGGGAATAAGCATAACTGAATGTTCTGGGCTCCATCTGCTGGTTCAGAAGCAACACTTCTGTAAAAAAACATTCCCAAGATACGGTGACGCCACAGAAGAAGCTGTTGCAAAGTGTTAAATATGAAAAGCCATTATGTATATTGCCAAGGTATTTTAATAAAAACATTGCTTCACCCCAGCATCCCAAGGTTTCTGTGTGTGGAGAAAGGAATATATCTATCCACAAACACACACTGTGTGTGTGTGTGTGTGTGTGTGTGTGTGTGTGTATATATATATATAGTTTTTACTAAAATGGAAAATGACACAACTGGGAAGGAGTTTCTAAATGTTGACTATTACAAGCAGTTCAATTTATAGAGCCCCTTTTATTGCAAAGTGCTTTGCAAACTATTCAAGGACGATTTTATTCGCTCTTAGGCAGAGAACACTGACATGTATGTGCCCTTCTGAGATGAAATATGACAACTGTTAAGCAGGCTGTAATGATAATAGTAACACCATCACTATGTAATTATAAATTACTTCCCTTGTGCTGTTCATGTGCATTTTGCTGGATAAATACTAAGTAAGAAACTAAAGAGTTTACATGCTAACGTGGACTAGCTGAAGAGCAGACATAGGAAGGGAAGGGCCACGAGGAGGGATTTAGGTAAGAAGAAAGAGGATGTTAAGAGGTACATGGAATACAGAAAAAGCAGTCATGTAGCACTTTAAAGACTAACAAGATAGTTTATTAGGTGTTGAACTTTTGTAGGGCAGATCCACTTCTTCAGATCATATTCTGAAAGTGAATTGGCATGACCATTATATAACAGAGGGATACAATGAAAAAAGTAAACAAATTACAAACTAACAAATCATCTACATAGAATAGAAGGTGGGGGCGAGGGGATAAGAAAGAGATAAGGAAGGAAGAAATTGCTTATTGTAAGAGTCAATTAAGTGGCTAATCAGGAGTTACTGCGAATATCAAAAGGTGGGGAAGCTGTCTTTGTAATGTGTAAGGTAATTATCATCTACATGACTGACCAGTTTGTCCAATACACATTGCAGAGGGACATTGCTGGCACATGGTGGCATATATCACGTTGCTGGATGTACAGGAATATCAGTCACTTCGCCAGAAAAATTAATGCTCACAGATCAGACCTCAGAAATCTCCACACACACAAACCTGTCAGCCAAGCATTTCAATCAAGCTGGCCATTCCGTTAAAGACCTGACAACATGTGTCTTACTACAAAGAGGCTTTAACACCAGATTACAGAAGAAGACTCCAGAACTTTTATTTATGCTAAAATTCGACACGTTACAAATGGGCCTTAATATAGATAATTACCTTACACATTACAAAGACAGCCTCCCCACCTTTTGATATTCGTAGTAACTCCAGATTAGCCACTTAACTGACTCTTACAATAGCAATTTCCTCCTTCCTTGTCTCTTCCTTGTCCCCTCACCCTCACGGTCTGTTCTATTTAGCTGATTTGTTAATTTGTAATTTGTTTTCTTTTTTCATTGTGTCTCTCTGTTATATAATGGTCATGTCAATTCACTTTCAGAGTATGATCTGAAGAAGTCGGTCTGCCCCTCGAAAGCTCAACACCTAATAAACTATCTTGTTAGTCTTTAAAGTGCTACATGACTGCTTTTTTTGTTTTACCAAGATCAGACTAATATGGCTACCTCTCTGTTACTTTTCATGATGGAGTACAGAGTGAGGCTTGTGAGGATTTGGGAGGCTGTTCCAAGTTTAGGCCACATGCACTATTAGTTCAGTGCACATTCTGATGAATTAATTATCACATCTTCCCTGTATTATCCCAATTTTAGAGATGTGGAATTTGAATCAGAGGGGTTAAGTAACTTGTCTCAGAGAAAAGGGAGGTCTGGATCAGGGCTTTGGCCTGAATGCAGATGTTTTAACACTCAGTCCTATATCTAATGCACTAGCCTGCTACCGAACTCTGCTGCCCATGCTCTTTTGACTGCCCACAGTTTGGCCAAAGGCCACACTGACTGCTTAGTAGATGATTTGGCATAGCTGCAGGCCTCTGGCTGGTCGGGAGCTTGAAGCAGTCTTAGCTCCAACAGCAGCTTGGGTGGTACCGTGTCCTAGAACTAAACATCGGACTGGATTTCTTCCAAATACTGAGGCACAGATAGTGGTGGATTTCACAAGTTAATAAACAAAGTGACATGTCTAGTCATCAGTTTACATTTCCAAGGCTGTCTGTAATGAAAAGTCAAGACAACACTTAAAAACAACAACAACAAACCCTGATGTTAGCCTTGATATTTCTGCATCTCTGAAACTGGCAATGGCCATGGGTTTCTCAGCTCCGTAGGCTGCTCAGCATCAGAAGGTACAAGCTAAGAGTTGAGGTGAAAAGGAGTAATACATGAAAAGGTTTCAGAGAAGGCAACAAATGTAATCAATAGGAGGAGAGGAGCTCAGGGGTGAGGGCAAAATTATGCAGGGCCCTGAAGTTCTGGATAAGGAACTTGAATATGATGCAGTCAGTGAAAGAAAGCCAAGATAGAGATGTGTGGAGGTGATAAGTACTGACATGAGAAGAAGATGACTTGCCAGTGGCAGATAGTAATTCTACAAAAAAGTTTAGGACAGGAAATGAAGATGAATACAGAATTCAATTGAAATTGCAAAAGAAATTTAGGAAGGCAAAGTGCAGTTAGCTGAGTTAGAATTTGACCAGAATACCCGTGATAATCATTCTACTCTTTCAAATAATACTCTATGACCACAAATGCTGGGATCTTGGTTTTTGTGTCCCACCTGAAAGAACACACCTTCAACTGAAGAGTGGTAAGGCATTATGCTGGGTTTTTAGTTCAGTATTGATCCAGAGATGAGTGCCACCCATGGGAACACAAATAACACTTTCTACTGGACTCTTCTTCATGTACCTGGGCAGTTTTCCAAACAAGCCCATATCCTGTCCAATATAGATTAGCTCTGGGAGCTCGTTTGAGATCCTAGCCTAAGGCAGAATGGCTGTATGCTATGTGAGTTGAAAAACTAAGAACATTGTTTATGGGTTGTCCCTTAAAGGTCAGTCCAAAGTATATATGTTTGGGGTGGGGGGGG